TGTGGAGTGGGGCAGATCAGAATGAGATGGGGCATGGCCCCTTTTAAGGCCAGGGGAGCCCTCCCAGGCCCCTTAGTGGGAAGCCAGAAGGAAGGGTGGGGAAGCAGAGGGGACCCCCATACCAAGAGCCCAGTCAGCAATGTCCCCAACCACTGAGCGTGGGGACGCAGCAGGGGCAGGGTGCGGCGAGGCGGGAAGTCGGCTTTGTCTGGAAGGGCAAATGTGCGCATGGGTGAGGGGTCGCTGGAAACCTAGACCAAAGGAAACTGCTCCCCACTCAGGCCTCGGGGCCCCGCAGCGGCTGGTGTGCTGTGTAGTGTGGTGGTGAGGGCACAGGTAGGTGGCGGTGACGCGTGGGCCTGGGGGGAGGGGCGGGGGCGGTGGGAGCGGAGCGGAGCTGTCCAGTCCCAGAAGGAAACTGCTCCCCGGTGAAGGAGCAGGCGGCACGGCGCGGTCACTGCTCCTCCTCGGAGGACTCCTGCGAGATGCCCTCTTCTTCCTCCTTCTCCTGTGAGGTGGGCAGGGCAGTCAGCAAGAGTGCCAGGCCTGCCCCCCCTCCCACTCAGGGGGGAAGGGGCACAGGCCAAGATTGCCCCCACCCCTCTCTGTGCTCCCTGGCTCTCCAGAAGGGGGATGAGTCAGGGCTGAGTGTGTGAGTGACTCAGCAACCTCCACGGCCCAGTTTCATTCATAAAAAAGGAAGAATTTAAAGGGAGGGAAAAAACCCACACACACGCTGCTCTCACACAGAGCCAGCCCCCCTTGGCCCTGGGGCCCGTGGTGGGTGCAGGGTGGGGGGACCCGCACAGCTCAGTGCAGCCCCGAGCTCGAGGCAGTGAGGAAGTCACTACCGGGCTTTCTGGAGGAGGGGAAGGGAGAGGGGGCCAGGGAGAGGACCGGGGAAGGTGCGGCTGCAGGGTGCGTGAGCCCCCCCTGCTGGGTGCAGTGCAGGGGAACCAGGTGGCCTTGGCCCGCAGGGGCAGCTGCTGGGCTGGGGAGCCGGGCCGCTGACTGACCCCAGGCCAGGGCGGGGAGGAAGGGGAAGTGTGTGCCGCCGGGGCTCACTCACTGGGCGGGAATGTCGGGACACCACACGGGCCTGCGGCCCCCGTGCCAGGCACAAACTCCAAAACAACTTGTTTCCTGTTACTCACTCCTGGGGCCCGGCCAGCACCCTCTGACCCCCCTCCTCACCCTGGTGGTGGCTCAGCTCGAGGAATGAAGGCCTCAGGGAGTTCAGGGAGCAGGTTTGGGGTAGAAAAGGGCCAGGAAGATTAAGGCTGGGGTGGCCGTAACTTCAGTGTAGGCCTTAGGGGCAGCCTCCGGACTCAGGCCACCTCCTTCCACTAGCAGCTATTTGTGGGGGACTCAGAAATGGATAGGTGAAGGACAAACCTCAACTTATGCCCAGGTAGCACTCTTTCCCCATTTCTACTGGTGGGGGGCCGGGGGGACTAGATGGCCTCCAAGTTCTCCCTAAAAGTTGAGTCTGTTCTAGTAGGGGAAGGAGAGGCGGCCCCACCCCCCCCACCAGGGCGGGGGTCCAGTCTGGTTTGTACCTGGGACCCCTTACTGCTACGGACAGAGCCCTTGAAAAGCCCTGGGCTGGGTGCCAGGACCCAGAATCCCTTTCCCTCTCTAGGCCTGGATAGAGCGATGATGTCCCACCATGCCCGGCTCTGGTCAGCCAGAGCCGTCTTTCCACGGTGAGCGCCCAGGAGGAACAGGCATCACCCAACCTCAACACCCTCCCCAGAAAAACCCAACCACCGCTCTCCCTTCACCTACCAGTTTTTTGGGTCTGCCCCTTGGTTTCCTCCCTGGAGTTGTGGTAGTTTTCTAGATGGTCCGAGAAAAGATCCACTAAGTCAAAAATGTTCCTGACAGTACTCCCCCAAATGACCAGGGCCCCGATGGTGAGGGAGAGCAGGGAGGAGCAGAACTACGTACCTCTGCTCAGGGCGGCCCAGGACTGTCACCCCGGCAGGCCCACCCGAGTCCAGCTGGTGATGACTGGCCAGCCACACTGCCCACCCCCCCCAATATACACACACGCCCCCCACTCCCTCCTCCACCCATGACTCAGAGGATATGAGTCGTGTCTCAGAAAAAATAAAATAAAAAACAAAACAACTGCTCCGAGAGGCTGATGCCACTGTGAATCTGGCCTTCCCTGCTTAACCCCACTCCCTCGGGACCCAGGGGACCCTGGAATGGAAGGAAACACTCTCAGCCCAGGGACTGGTGCTGCTGTCCCTTCGCTCTTCCTGACTCTCCCTTCTCCAGACGAGGAAAGCCGCAGGACTTCTGACTTGACCTCCCCATTGTCCTGGGCGGGACCAAGTCCCCAGAAGGAAGACCTCGATCATCACCCTGCTTTCCCCCAATTCGCAAAGACTCCCCCTGCCACCCACATGCCAGGGAAGAGGGGGCAGGGTACAGGCCCTTCCCAGAGCCCCCCACAGCCGTGGCCACGGGGACAGGGCCCTCTTCCTTCGTCCTTACCCGGGTCTTGGCAGCACCCTTGTTTTTGCTCCCCTTTGGTCGGCCCCGAGGTCTCTTAGGTGTTGGCACTTCGCTGGGTTCCTTCTGCAAAGACAGATGGGGTCATCAGGGACACAGATGCCACCTGTCCTGCCCCTTTCAAAAACACAGCTCTCTCCCGTGCCCCAGCAAGACTGAGTCAGCAAGCCATCACCCCGACCCAGAAATCCACAGGAACCATGGCGGGCAAGCCCTCGTGATGCAGGTTCTGACTCTGACCATCTTTCGCAAAGCCCCTCCCATGCTGCCCTATGACAACTAAGTGACAAGAAACCAGAAAAGGGAAAGGTGTCACCGGAGAAGAAAGACACTGTCAGGGAGCTCTGCCACCAAAGGGCTCTAAGCTCTTGGGCAAGACACAGAATGCCTGGGCCTCAGTTTTCTCAACCGTAAATGGTGACCACACTCACCTCACGAGGCATCACGAAAAGTAAAGGAAGGATGTGGGAATGTCTAGCACTGGGCCAAGACTGCTGCCCACCCCCTCAGACGACACAGGCTGGAGACTGTGGAGGACGCAGAAGGGGAAAGGAGGCCCCGTGACAGTGGAGGGAGCCTCCAGCCTCCACCCGCAAACTGGACTCCCTCTAGGCTGCCTCCCAGAGCAGGAATGATGCCCGGATGTCAGAAACAGAGATCCCGGCCGTGGTTGCCGCTGAAATTTTAATAAGCCTGACAGGATAAAAAAGCTGCTGCATAATGCATAGAAGCTGGGCAGCAAAGGCAGGTCAGCTGTGGTTTCGGGGGGACTGCCCATAGGCTGTTTAGAACTATGGTCCAGTAGCCCAACACTCCTTCTCAGACACCCCCCTGTGGACCCCAGCTAACTGGCTCCAGGTGGAGACCAAGGGAACCAGACTGACTTCCCTCCACACATTGTGGCCTCTGAAAGAGGCAGCTGAATCCCACCACTCAGACTCCCCATGGCTCATTATCTCCCTAAAGAGTCAGTACAGACAGCACTCTTCAACCTATAGATGCGGAAGCCGAGGCCCACGGTATAAAGGGCAAGGGTTGCCCTCAATCCCTTTCCTCTTCCTGGGGAAAGGGAAGTGAGCTGGGCCTCACCAGTTACTGCCCCTGTGAGACAATCCAAGATCTCCACCATAGGGCAGGGGGCCCCCAAAAGGCCAAGCTGGCCTTCTAACCCCGGGAGACCTCAGCAGGGGACAGCACCAGGGTTGAGAGGTTACTCTCTCACCAACTCCCCCACATTTTCAAGTTCTTGGGCTTCAGTTTTCCTTTTACAGAGCCAGAGCCTGGCCTAGGGCCACTCTAAGGGAGGCCCATGGATAGATGCTGGCCCAGGATTTTTTTGTTACAGGCCTGGGATGAGGAAGTACAGAAATTGACAGGTATTCGTAAACTTTCACAGCCAATTGACAGAATAGCCTGTACAACGAAATCTCGGGACTGAAAACGTGAACTTCTATAGACACGTAACTCCTCTTTTCTGTGTTTTATCAACGCATTGATCCACAACAGACTGGAAGTCAAGGGTGGGTAGTTCACCAGAGTGCGAGCTCTCGCCTGTGTGACTGCAAGGTCGCTTCTGGCTTGGATCGGCCGGCAAGGGCTCAGAGTTCACTCAGATTCCTCAGCCCCCACTTCTCTCCTGGGGTCTCAGCGACGGACCAGGGTGGGCATGCGCCGGGTGCATGTTGGAGGACACACACACTGAGCAAGGATCCTGCACCCCTCTTCCAGTTTTCACTTGGCACCTCCCTAGCCCAAAGGGGTAAACCGAGGCAAAGGTTCGGACACCCACCTGACTCCCTACCAGCGCCGTCCCGGGACTCACCGGAGGCTGCTTGCGCGGCCTGCCCCGACCCCGCTTCTCAGTGCCGTCCTTTTCCTGCTTGGAGGCCAAGGGCTGGCTGGACTTCGAGCTCGACTCGCTCATCTTCCCTTCTCTCTGGAGCAGGTGGAGGAGCGATGGCTGGGATGCTAGGAAAGCAGAAGTCGTTTTAAACACAACATTTTGCTTTGGCCACCTCCTACCCCCTTTACCACTCCCCCACCTTCAAGGTGGCCTGCCTGTAGGACCCTGCCTGCTCCCGGGGATCCAGGATCCCCACCCTGCTTAGCTGGTGGGGGTGGGGGTCCGCCCAGCCCCAGCATGTTGCTACAGGGTGGGGTCGAGCCGTTGGCTCTAATCAGCTCCTTATCTCCTGCTCAGAAGGGCGCTTTGTTGTCCTGCCACCCCCACAGGGCCCAGGCCCAAGAGGCACAGCAGGCTCAGAGGTGGCTGTGGGTGAGGTCACCAGGGCAAAGGTGTGGATGAGGTGGGGGGATCCTCACACTGCCAGGGGTCCCTTCTCTTAAGAGAAAGCCAAGCCTGAGTGGCTCACAGGCAACAAGGGAGGAAAAGTAAGCAGGGAATAAGCCTTGGGCTTCCATCTGGCAGCCGTGGGCATCAGTCCGTGGCCCACCTGCCTTGGCCCAAGCCTCGGGACCAGGCGCTACCAGGGCCAAGCTTGATACTCTGTACCAATCACCCAGCCAGGGATGGTGCCCACCCCACTAGCTCTCTCTCCGGATAGAGCCTTGGGGACTCAAGGATGGGAAGTCTGGGAAGGGGAAGTGGGCTGAAATCGCACGGGGGCGGAAAAGAAACCTAAAGCTGAGAGGTGGGTCTCCTCTTCCACCCCCGTCCACCTGGAGCCAAATGAGATTGTCCCCTTTGATGCCTGCTTTCAGGAGGGGCAGGAATTCTGCACTGAGATGGATCCTTCAGAACAGATGCTAGCTGCCCTCCCCCGTGCCCCGCTCCCCCAGCCTGGGCAGAGCTGGTCGTCAGTCCTCCAAAGCTTCTTGGTTCTCTTCTAGCATCTTTCCTCTTCTTATACACAGGCCGTTTTGTGTTTAATCAGCCCCACCAATTTTCAGTTTACCTAAAACTTCCCACTGCTTGCAGCATTTGCCCCCTTTATCTGGGAGCCTCTTCCAGAAGCTCAAAAGACAGTGAGGGTGCTCCACCCCGTCTGTCTTCCCAGTTAAAAGATACTCAACCTGGGAGACCTATGGCTCTACACCTTCCTGGTAACCAATCCCTGGTTGCACTTGGCAAAGGGTGGGCCCAAGCGGCCTCACTTCTAAAAGACCTGCCATCTGTAAAATGGGGGTAATGGTAAGACATCCACCTCAACCGCCTGCTTCTCCAGACTGACGCAAGATCAAACCAGATGATGGTTGAAATGTGTAAACAATGGGAAATCTCACTCCAATCAAAACGAAAACTAGAACATTTGAAAATGACTTCTCTTTCCCTTTTTCCGATTTTCAGACAATTTCCAATTTTAACTCGATGAGGGCGGGGAGGAAATGTTTTTTGCAAACTAGGGACTTTTGGAGGACTGGAGGCCCCCATCCCCAAGCATCAAGATTCTCCAGACGGCGAGACTTTGTCTGGTAATTATTCTATTTTATAATATTTCAGACTTGAAGACCCTTTTAAACAAGGTGGTTGGTGATTTATCCTGCTCCGTCATTAGTGGCTTGGCCTGCTCTGTAATTACAGGCAGTGATTAGAATCTTATATTACACCACAGGTTCCCCTTCAAACTAAACATCAAAATTAATCAGCCTAAATGAGTGCTGACCTCACATGAGGTCTGTTGAAGGCCCCCTCACAGAGGGGGTTCCAGTTGGGCCAAGCCAGCCCCTAATCCCAGAAAGCCTGGGCCCAGCAGGCCTGGGAATCCTGGTGGGTCTCTGGGGGGAAGTTCTTGCATCATCTGGTGCTTTCCCCCACTTTTTGCTACTGGGGACCCTTTAATCCATTCTCCATCCACCCCCCTCCCAATCCAGGCCTCCAGGAACTGAATGAAGGCCTGAGGCCCTCTCTGGTGAGACCAACAAATGCTTGTCTCTTCCACCTGTTTCTGAAAATCAGAGGCCTAGCTGGGCGAAGCCATGTTTAGGGCCCGACCTCAATCCTTCAGTTTGTAATAAGCCCTTCTGGGCCTCAAGCTTGTCCCTCTCCATACACCGGGCGCGCAATGTGTATTCCACAAAGGCTTAGGGAATCTACAAGAACGACCCTAGGAAATCCTCATGGCGCTCCCTTGTTTTCTGGAAAAAAAAAAGTAGCCCAGAGAGGCCTGAAGAGTTGCCCAAGGTCACACAGCAAGTAGGCAAGCAGGATACAGTAGGTTCCTGGCGACCCCTCTAGCCCGCCACTTTCCCTACCCGCCTAGAGAATGGTTAAGTCCCTGTTGCCCCTGCTCCAGACCCAGCCCCAGGGTGACTCTGCAAGTGTCTGCGCCGGGCCGTTGCAGGTCGGCCGGCGGGACCAGGGGCCAGAGCGCACGGGGGGAGGGGCACAGGCTGCTCTTGCAGGCGCGGGAAACTGGTGCACCCCGACCGCATGCACCGCCACGCGGGTGCACCCGGCCCCACTTCCTGCCAGAGGGGGCACCCAAGCCCGCCTTGGGGCAGGAAACCTGGCGCGCGCGGGCGCGGGGCAGAGGAAGAAAGACACCTCCCTCCGCGCCCTCCCCGCAAAATAAAGCCCCAGAAAAAAAAAAAAA